GTACAACCAAGTACAGGAACTCAACGATATCATACTTGGCCCGTGTTCTAAGCGACAGAGACAATGTTAAGCGTGAAACCTATGACTTGCTTTGTTATTAATAACATAATTCTAGGCTCTTTTATTTCTCTCTTATTTTGTATTCTATAGTGAACTCCTTCTTAAACATACTTAGCTACCTGAATTATTAACATTGGCTTACTTTTTGTACTTTACTCTATTCCTTCTTTTGTGTATCTACTGGTTCCGACTATATTAGCTCTATGAGTATCACAAAATTGTCCTGTCATTAATCATCATGTAATTATTAGTTTTTGTGGTTGTTGTTTTTTTTTAGTTCGGCAATATTAACTGACAATCTTGGTTGTGAAAGCCATTATCACCATCTTAAAATTTTGTATTATGCAGGATTACTCACACTTCCACTACAAACACTGCATTAGACCTAACGATAAAAAAACAAAACAACAACCCTGAAATGTTATTTTATGATTGTTCAGTGTTTGTTTCAACCAAATTAACTGACCATCTTGGCGATAAACATTCTTAAATATCATTTCATAACTTCTTGTATGACTATAGCTTTACTGTCACCATGCATAATCATATCATAGCTTCCACTACCCAATACTGAGATATTATTTTATGTTATTTATTTTCCTTTCTACTTCTTGGTATTTTTTCGCATTTTTTAAATTTCTTTCGTGTTTTTTTGCTGTTTTTGTCTGTATATTTATTTATTTTTGAAAATACTCTTTTTAAACGTTGGATAAAATTAGATGCAAATATTGTAGATATGTGCTGAAAATTCCACACTGTACCACTAGTATTGTTTCTGAAATAAAGCAAATTATTATATATATATATATATTCACATTTTTCAAGTATTGGTTTGTAGGGATTCTGTTTGAATGTTTGGAGGATTTCATCATGAACAACAGCGGTTTTTGCAGAATAAAATGTTACCATAATTGCTAATTTCGTTGGCTTCTCATCAGCTCAGCTGCTTACAGGCCAAAGGCATTATGGAGTATATCTAGAGAAACAATTTTAACATACTTGCATAGAGAGTTCACTTTCAAACAAAATTCAATCAATATATGCATACAGTAATAATATATATAAATATTTATATAATAATAATATTAAACACTATTCCGAACAATAATAATCATACACAATGGAAACTTTCGACATTACGTATTCAGATGAAAGAGAGGTGAAAATATCGAGTTACCAGACAGGGCAAAGAAAGACTGATAACTGCTTCTTTCTGAACGTATAAATCAGGTTTCAGGCGCTCGATGGTGATCACTTTGGCCAACTCGAGGAGAATTCAACTCTTTTGCCTATTGGTAATTTTGAACGGTCTTGCGATGTCCACCTCATGACCCGTGTCATGGAGATGGTTGGCGATAGCACTGTTTAAAGCATTTGTTCCCTTTAGACATAGGCTTTTTAGTACATGTATGCATATATTGATTGATTGATTTTTGTTAAAACTGTTTCTGTAGATATACTCAATAATGACTTTGGCCTGTAAGCAGCTGAGCTGATGAGAAGCCAACGAAATTAGCAATGATGGTAACATTTTATTATTCTGCATAAACTGTTGTTCTTGCTTTATTCACATTCATTAACGGGAATAAATGCATGAAATTTCATCATGAGCTGACATCGATTAGTTAACCATTGGAAAGCAACCTGGGAGTACTGGACAGCTGTTTCGACACCCCAGTTTGCAACTCTTTATCGGTATGCACCCAACACAGAGGTTCAAACACAGGACCTTCTGTATACAAGGCTAGAGAGCTTGTAAACCATTAAGCCACTCATTGGAAGCCGATCCAATGGCCAGCCCATGAATTCCAACTTCTGACAATTCACTCACGACATAACGCGACTACTAGCCAATGTCTTCGATGAGTAACTGTCCTCACCCCAGAAGTTAGAATTCATGGGCTGGCCATTGAATTGGGTCCAAGTGAGTGGCATAATGGTCTACAAGCTCTCTAGGCTTGTAGCCAGAAGGTCTTCGGTTCGAACCTCTGTTTTGGGTGCATACTGCTGAAGTGTCCCAAACTAGGCTGTCGAAACAGCTTTCCAGTTGTCTGTGCAGGTTTTACAATGGTTCTTCACCTGATGATGAAATCCTCCAACCATATATATGTGTAACAGAAATATTAACAGAACTACCTAACCTGATGGTGACGAGATATTCGTGATCTAGTTGTAAAACTAAGAGAACACGAAATGCATCCTACTTAATGATAAATCTTTTGAAAGATTATTCATCATTACTAGATGTTATTGTTATCTCTTCTCTCTGAATTGCATTGTTTTGCTTGACAAGCTCTCCTCGTTGCTATAGACGACATCTTTGGCGCCAAAGGCAATTTGAAGTAAGAAATGAGAATTTCCCATAAATGTATTATTTATCTCTATGACTGATTGTATGCTGATATTATTGCAAAAAGTCTTGAAGGAGGGAAAGGTGCCTACTGACTGGAGGAAAGGTTACCTCGTGAAACTACCAAAGAAGGGCGACCTAGGACTCTGCAAGAAATCGCGAGGAATCATGCTCCTGTCGACGCCAAGTAAAATCCTGAGTCGCATCATCCTGGAGAGAATAAAGGACGCACTGGATACAGAACTCCGACCAGAACAAGCTGGATTCAGGAAAGGCAAATCATGTTCTGATCAAATTGCAACTCTACGCATTATCATCGAACAAAGCATGGAATGGCAATCAAATCTCTACCTCAACTTTATAGACTTTGAGAAGGCCTTTGACAGCGTTGACAGCTAAGTGATTTGGAAACTACTCGAGTACTACGACATACCCCAAGTATTCAAAAACCTAATTCAACAGCTGTACAAAAACAGCACATGTCAAGTGATCCACAACGGAAAACTCAGCGAGGCGTTTCGAGTAAACACAGGAATCAGACAAGGGTGCTTATTATCACCAATGATATTCCTAATTGTGGTGGACTGGATTATGCATCAGACGAGTGGGAAGTGAGAAGACAGGGATATCCTGGACCGACATGAAGAAACTAGAAGACCTGGATTTCGCGCGTGGATGATTTATGTTTGATGTCACACAAAATCGAAGACTTACAAGCGAAAACCGATAAACTGGTCGAAGAAGCAGCAAAGACAGGACTCCACGTGAACATAGACAAGACGGAAGTTATGAAAATAACCAACCAACAACAACAACAACAGCAACAGCAACATCCAGCACCAATCACCATCAATGGGAGGGATTTGAAAGAGGTTACTTCTTTCACTTATCTAGGGAGCATTGTCTCAACTACAGGAGGAACGGACGAGGATGTCAAATCGAGAATCAGGAAGGCGACAAACACATTCATCAACCTGAAACCAATCTGGAAATCTTCGTCACTCAGCCTGCATCAACAACAAAGTGATTCGGATTTTCAATACAAACGTCAAGTCAGTCAGTTCTTCTATACGGATGGATCAGAAACTTGGCGGCGGGTCACAAAGAATATTTCCAACAGCCTGTTGCAGACCTTTATCAACAACAACTGTCTTCGCTGGCTCTATACTGAAGATCAGATGGCCGGAAAGAACAAGAACCAACAAGAAACTATGGGAACAAACAAAACAAGAACCAATCGCCCAACAAATATGCAGGAGAAAGTGGAGATGGATTGGACACTCACTGGCTGAGGAGGCCGTTGGGTGACATCGCGCGTCAGGCCATAGCTCGAGTGGAACCGGAAGGGGAAGCGGCGAGTGGGACGTCAGTGCAAGTGTGACATGGAGGAGATCGTGTGAAGAGGAGTTGAAACAGTATGGACTAACATGGATGCAGGTGAAAAGTACATCAGAAGACAGAAGCAATTGGAGACGTGCAGTTGAAGCCCTATGTTCCACTAGGAACCCAAGGGAACAATAATAATAATAATGACTGATTGTCGAACAGATCTCCTTATGATTGTATCGGCTTATATGGATACAGATTCTGTTATTAACCCGATACTTGACATTTTAGTTGTGTGACTCAGTGTTCATGGTCTGATAAAGTTAATAAGTAGTGCAATTCAGGATGGGCATTTCCTTCTCAGGTCTTGTGGTCAAGGCTTTGACGTTTATAACGATGAGTGCTGTATTTGAGTCACAGTAGAAACATTATCACTCTCTGGTGACGCAACTATCTTCAACTGACAAGTCCTGAATAGGATGAAACACACATTTTTGATTCCACTGACAGTCTTATTCAATCATATGATGAAGTGTTAAGCTGTAGGTATTTTCGAAACCTCCGACGTCCATCCATAGTTGGTGACTAGGTATTTTGGTTCAATAAAGTTAGTGGATGAGAAATTCAAAGCTGATGAACTCATAAAAATTACCAGTAAGAAGTATTTGAAAATCTGAAGGAAGCAAATTCATTGTATTTAACGACACTTTATTTCTCTGTGATAAATTAACACTGTTGGTCAATGTTTCAATATATTGAATATTGAACGTCTGTTCGTCTATTCTAAATTATTATTATTGTTCCCTTGGGTTCCTAGTGGAACATAGGGCTTCAACTGCACGTCTCCACTTGCTTCTGTCTTCTGCTGTACTTTTCACATGCATCCATGTTAGTCCATACTGTTTCAACTCCTCTTCACACGATCTCCTCCATGTCACCCTTGGACGTCCCACTCGCCGCTTCCCTTTCGGGTTCCACTCGAGCGTTGGCCTGACGCGCGATGTCACTCAGCGGCCTCCTCAGCGAGTGAGTGTCCAATCCATCTCCACTTTCTCCTGCATATTTGTTGGGCGATTGGTTCTTGTTTTGTTTGTTCCCATAGTTTCTTGTTGGTTCTTGTTCTTTCCGGCCATCTGATCTTCAGTATAGACCAGCGAAGACAGTTGTTGTTGATAAAGGTCTGCAACAGGCTGTTGGAAATATTCTTTGTGACCCGCCGCCAAGTTTCTGATCCATCCGTATAGAAGAACTGACTGACTTGACGTTTGTATTGAAAATCCGAATCACTTTGTTGTTGATGCAGGCTGAGTGACGAAGATTTCCAGATTGGTTTCAGGTTGATGAATGTGTTTTCTCGCCTTCCCGATTCTCGATTTGACATCCTCGTCCGTTCCTCCTCCTGTAGTTGAGACAATGCTCCCTAGATAAGTGAATGAAGTAACCTCTTTCAAATCCCTCCCGTTGATGGTGATTGGCGCTGGATGTTGCTGCTGCTGTTGTTGTTGTTGTTGGTTGGTTATTTTCATAACCTCCGTCTTGTCTATGTTCACCTGGAGTCCTGTCTTTGCTGCTTCTTCGACCAGTTTGTCGGTTTTCGCTTGTAAGTCTTCGATTTTGTGTGACATCAAACATAAATCATCCACGCGCGAAATCCAGGTCTTCTAGGTTCTTCACGTCGGTCCAGGATATCCCTGTCTTCTCGTTTCCCACTGTCTGACGCATAATCCAGTCCACCACAATTAGGAATATCATTGGTGATAATAAGCACCCTTGTCTGACTCCTGTGTTTACTCCAAACGCCTCGCTGAGTTTTCCGTTGTGGATCACTTGACATGTGCCGTTGTCGTACAGCTGTTGAATAAGGTTGATGAATATTTGGGGTACGCCGTAGTACTATTCTAAATGGATTACAACAAATAAATCAGTTGAGAAAAGTACCAGTCTGATTGATCAAAATAGTTTCTAACACTAGGCTATCTAATTTTTCATCTATCGAAAGGCGCTTTATATCCTCCCTTTTCATCACTTTGTTTTAATTATTCATTTTCATCTTTGAATCGTAGTCCAATACTCACAGCTCTTTTCAAATAGGTTTCAACCAACTATTATGGTGCTTTACTTGAAGGCGATGTGAAGAAAACACTGCAGGTTTGATGAGAGCGTGCTTTGTATATATATCAATACTGCTTTAAATGGTATATATATATCACCAATTATTGATTTACTCGAAGATTTTACACAAAGAGCATTATTATAGTTTGCAATACAACATGCTGTCAATTCTGTAAGATGCATGAAAACAAATTTAACTTTTCACCAATGCGTGTGTGTTGTGTCTTGAGTGGTGACGTACTCTGTCTGATTGATTCTCTTGAATAGGAGACTTATTTTACCTCGTAGTGATTCGTTTTTCTTTTCAAAATTACACTCTTTTTTCGTCTGAAAATTGACAGAAATGAAACATTCCAGGAGTCACTTTTTACTCAGTATTATTGAAATTCAACACTAGCTTATTTATGTCATCTAATTCTTATACATCAATCTATCTCTCTTGCCACGATCACGTGCTGATCTCAGTGATCAGTATTTTGATTAGTTTGTAGACGAATTTCTGTTAAAAAGAAAACTACATCAGCTACAACTCAATCAGTCAATCTACTTCGACGTCTAGTCTGCGTGACAGTTTGATAAAATGTCACTCATAGGTAAATTATTCAAATACATATGAAAATGAATCGATATTAGCGATTCCCTGGATAAATTCTACTCGAGTGAGAAAGATCAAACTTGTAGCACAATACGATAGGATAAGTTATATAGTTTAGTAGATTGTGAGCAATACAAACACAATATGCTAACGTAAGCATCGATGGCACAGAGGTTAGTACACTCGCCGATCACGCCTCATGTGGTTCGGGGTTCGATCCCCGGCCACCGACGCCACACTCCTTTACCTCGCTAATCCACAAATAAAACTGGTAAAGAGGAAAGGTTGGGCATGAGGTGGCTAGCAACCCCATCCTGTAAAAATAAACACTGCTACAGTAACTTCAAGCCTCTAGCTTGAAGCCCTCTCTATGTTCCACTGGGAACGTGAAGGAATAAAAGAATGGACTTATTCTCTCTTCTGATCTCTCCTGGTCTTCCCATGTCTCAGCGATCTTCAGTAAAATATTCCGCCTGACATTTTACATTAAGAAGTTAAGGCACTCGGGCATAACTCAACCCCTCCTCTTACAGTTCATAAACTCTTGCATCCTACCTATTCTTCTTTATCTTTCACCCTTATTCTTTCCTGGTTTGCTTAAAAAGGACTATGTCACAATTCGTAGAATGCTGAAGACTGTCAGTAGAATGAGTGGTGTCCCAGTGGACTACATAGTTAACGTCGTTGTCGATAGGCATTTGACTTCGCGCAGTAAATTTGCTAAAGGGATTTTGTCTGACTTGGAGCATCCACTTCACCCTCAACTTTCACCTTGCATCTCCTCAGGTAGAACAAGAAGTAACTTCAGAAAACTGTATGCTCGCACGTCTAAGTATAAAAATTCTATGATACCATACTTGGCACGTATTTTATGTGATGAAAATAGCGTCAGGCAAGAATTGACTAACCTTTTTTCATCTACTAAATAAACAATCTCCTCCATCCATCTTTATATACCTTCAAGTTTTACTTTTATGATTTCTATTATATTTATGGTCCTGTTGATTCTTTGTTTTCACTTTCATAACTGCAAACACCAACTTATCTCTATGACTGCTGTAATCTTTGTTTTTTCCCTCACCATATCATGTAAAGAGAACATCATATTCAATATTTTTAATCATGCAAGGATTTGTATACCTCATCGACAGTACTGTGTGAAACAAGCCCACGGCAATTTCCACTTGTATTATTATCATTACCTTAGCTGCTATCATTATTATTATTATTACCATTTTATATGCTTCATGTTTTTTATTTTTTATTTTTTTTATATTAACCCTATTGTAAATGTAGAAAAATTTTCTGTGTGATTAATTTTATTTATAATTTGAGGAAATTAGATGCAATATTGTGATTAATGCTGAAAATTCCATTCTGTATCACAAGTACTGTTTTTGGAATAAAGTAAATCATTATTATTATTAAAAAATTACTTACTAAGAGTGGACCATAAAGAATAGGAGACAGACATTTGACATTTACTATTGACGAAGTATTCTAGGATTGTTTAGATGTTAGACGGATTGGAATATAGAAGAATATGTTCTTGTGGATGTATTACGAGTATAGAAAGGTTCAGAGGAGGTGTTGAGCTGTCCAGTATACCCTACAGATTTTCCAGTGGTTATCTAACTGATGTCGGGCTGTTTGCGGTTGAAGAGATGACCCGAGACAAAATGTACATACTTCATACTGCGAATTCTGTTCTTCTTGATTCCTCGAAGATACTCTTACGGATTCATTAATGTTTTTTTACAAGCACTGATAAGTTCACCACATAACCTGTAGCCACATCACTCTCAGATATTACAGCAGAAGTGGTAGTAAACGTCTACCTTCAACACCAATTATGTTCGGTGCGCGTGTCATAATATCCAATGAGAGAGTGTCAAATCGAGTCACAGATTTCTGACAGCTTCCAAAGTTTCTGGGATCACACAGAAGCTGTCATACAGCCCATTATCCTCAAGGAAATAGGGGGATAGGACGCTCTAACCAAAACCACTAGACAGGATTCCTCTCAGTGGTAATTCTGAGCATCCAACACATTCATCAAAACCAATGCTCATTACTCAGCTGCTGCAGCAGCAGAGATGTTATTCGGAACTACTAATTACCAGCGAATTTATCAATCCTAATGTGGAAAAGAAGACACTTGGCCAGGCTACTTATGTCGACAGATTTCGATTGTAAGTTGCTAACTCGAGGTTGGTTTCATCACGTGGGTAACCTATAATAGCGTGTGAATTTGAGAACGAGGCTTCCTTCTCGTATGCATAGGTGAGATATGAGAAAGCACAACCACCTTTTAGTCTACTACACGAAAGTGTGTTCAGAGTGAATACATGGCATTTGAAATACTTCGTGACTCAATAGTGTAGCATTAGCATCGACAGAGTAAAACCTACCCATATAAGTGACGATTCCCTCTGCGTGTTAGTGAGAAAACTTCCACATGTGACAGTTAACAACGCAGATCCTAAGGCAGAAACTGAGAAGATCGGCAAGTGACTTTGACGGGTTAAACGTTCTATTAGTGAAAAGTTTCTAGAAAAACCACGGCCATGACTCATTAACGAGTGACTAACATCTGAAATTTATTTTGGACGAAGTATTCCAGTATGGTTTAGATGTCAGACTGATTGGAATATAGAAGAATGTGTTCTTGTGGATGTATTACGAGTATACAAAGGTTCAGTGGGGTGTTGATGGACACATTCACCGTTTTAAAGTTTGCTAGAGGCAACCAGGAGTCGAACCTGGAACTGTCAGCTTATTAGATCAAGCTGGTTGACCATTTGAGGCGGAATTCAGTGACTTCTGAATTTTAACTCTGTCAATTTAGTACTATTTATTGTTAACGTTTTGAAGAATTTATTGCTCTTAAGCATTTCAAGGCACTCAGGTAACTTTACAGTTTCGTTTATATAGTGCCATTATTTTCTATCCTTTTATTTGATTGGTAGTAGTATTTTCCATGTCTGTGGTATTGGTTTCGACTTATTCCTGGTGCACGTGTCATGTGTAGATTCAATGAACAAAGATTCAGTATTCAACGTCTCTCTCCACCTACCTATATTACTTTTTAGAATTTTAACCGTCTCCCACCGTACTGTTTGGTTGTGTGTTAATGCATGCACTGCAATTGCTGAGTATATTTGTCTAAATTACTTATTAAGTATTGGTTTGTAGGGATTTTTTGATTGTTTGGAGGATTTCATCATGAGATGACATTGGTCAGACAACCATAGGAAAACCTGCAGGGACTACTGGAAAGCTGTTTCGACAGCCTAGTTTGTGACTCTTCATCAGCACGCAGCCAGTACAGAGGTTTGAACCCAGGACATTCTGGTTACAAGGCTAGAGAGCTCGTAGACCAATAAGCTACTGGGACTCAATCTGATGCTCACTGGCGACTGGTCCTATTCAGGTAGGTAGTTATCTGGGGTTCTAGTGTGAAGTTGTGACCAGTAGGGGGCAGCAGGTCGGGCGTGAGGATAAATACTCACCTATGGTCTCACCATATCAGGAATTGGCAGAAGTTTGAATTCATGGGCCATTAGATCGAGGCCCGGTGGCTTAATGGTTTACAAGCTCTCTAGCCTTGTAACCAGAATGTCCTGAGTTCGAACCTCTGTGTTCGGTGCGTACTGATGTAGAGTCCCAAACTAGGTTATCGAAACAGCTATCCAGTACTCCCTGCAGGTTTTCCAATGGTTCTCTAACCTATGTCAGCTCATGATGAAATCCTCCGGCCAATTAAATTACTTATCTTCGAGGAGTCAGTCATTCTGACTTTAGATAAATTCTTATGTTCTTATAATCTCACTAATCTCCATCTACTAGTTTGATCTATGTAGTTGAGCTCGCTCACAGTCATTGCAAGATATTATGTATTTGATATTATTTTGTCTAATTGGGTCCTTTAACATACAGAGCTTATCCTGCCCGAGTGAGCATAGGTCTGAATGACATCCTAACTTCTTCTTTATTACGAATCCTATGTAGGGTTTCAGATGTCCCTTCCTTATATGATAAAAAACTTTAGATGCCTTAGATTCCTTCTTATTTATGTAATAGTCAGCAGTTCCAGTACTCTTTTCCCTTTACTTGGAAGCCTTCGGGTTCTTTTTATTGAATTTTATGGGACA